ACAAAATAAAATAAAATGCTTCTGCGCTGCATTTACGGATAGCCGTGCGAATATCGACCCATCTTGGTTATAACCACTCGTGTATATAGTCCTAGCTGCTTTCGTTGTTACCTCTTGTCACCTGTAAAACAAATTTTTACATTTATACCTGTAGTTATAGAATTTCATATATTTTCCTTTGACAACCTCTATTTTAACATTGCAAAAAACATAACAAAAAAGTATCTGTACCTATAAGGGAGGTAATCAACCTTTGAAAAATCTTTATTATCTTGGCAAATCAACATTATTTATGGCTCTCCTCTTTGAATTACTTCGAAGCCACGTACTTATGGAGCCTGTGACTTTTGATCTCGAAAAATTTCTTTTATATTGTTTGCCACATGCATCTGAAAAAAGATTTAAAAAATTACAATATTATGCATGAGAAATACTAAATACAGGATTTAAGTTGATAAGTTAATCATCATATTTATTAAGAGTAGATCAAGTGTATTTTAAGGGGGGGAGCCTCATGTAACCAGTAAAAAAAATCGAAAAAATTTTATTGCACAAATCATTAGTATAATATCTCTAGAATATGTTCCCAAAGTTCCAGAGCGAAATTCGAACTTGAAATAGGCGATTTTATACCTAAGCGTTACGCAAGTAAAACGCGCGCTTCGAGAACTTGAAACTTTAAACGCGTTTTTCTCAAAACCATGTTTTTCAAATTGGCGTGCAAGATTACTGATAAACTATTCGACCAATCGACTTGCCCTTTGGCATGCATGTAGATAACTAAATACCATTGTCTTTAAACCTATTTGTTTAGTCATTTTACATGAGGCTCCCTCCTTAAGACACAGCAGGACTGAAAGTAAGAGTTTTATGTTTTTTTCTCAGCATTTTCAATAATTTACCAATAATGCACTTACCACACTTTAGTGACTTGATTCCTTTTTTTATCTCTGTCCCTGTCCAATTCAGTTGTAATGCAACCTCAGAAGAGAAAATCTTCTTACATATACTAGTAGCCATTTCTCCTTCATGTACCCCTCTCCCAGCTACAACACTAAAATGGGATACCTGTACAGAAAAAAAAGTTATTAGCAAAAAGTTATATTGATGTGCTTTTTAATATTCTTTAAGTATGTAATTACAAAGAAAAGTCACTTAAGATTTAAAATTAAATTAAAGAAAGTACTACAAAAAAATAATATAAACTAATGTTATATAACAATCTGTTTACTGTATATGGATGTAGCTTATCAGAAGTACAGAATTCGAAAGATGGTAAAAGATGCAACGCTAATTTAGAACGATAAAGGATATTATTGTTATATTAATTGAATAATACATATTGCGGAATTATGCACTAAAGAATTAACATTGAGCTATTAATTATATAGTCTGGACAATATATTTATCAAATGATTGACAATAAAATGTTATTTAAATATTGAACGTAACAGAAATATATAAATTTTATTTTTAAATTTATATTTGATATTTCTTTCTGACAAAATTATTTCTTACATTTTCTGTATCCAGTGATGAAA